AGAAATTAGCATCTTGGTTTGTTTTCACCTAGCTTTTGCCTTTGCGTAGTTTCTTTCTGTCCTTTCTTTCTTAGTAGCTGAAACTATACTAAAACATAATTTTGTATCTTTTACAATTTTTTATATTGTAATATTATTCATTGTAAAATTTGTAATGACTGGTAAATGCTATTATCTTAATGTAACTATTTAGCCTGGTGTAAGATAATGACAGTTGGGATATGTGGATTTTTATGCAAATGAAGATAAACACTTTTTAAAAAGGCAAACATAAGGCAGGTGTGGTGGCTCATGCCTGTAATCCCAGCACTTTGGGAGGCCAAGGCGGGTGGATCACCTGAGGTCAGGAGTTCGAGACCAGCCTGGCCAACATGATGAAACCCCATCTCTACTAAAATTATAAAAAATTAGTTGGGTGTGGTGGTGGGCCCCTGTAATCCCAGCTGAAGCAGGAGAATCGCTTAAACCCAGGAGGTGGAGGTTGTAGTGAGCTGAGATTGCGCCATTGCACTCCAGCTTCGACAACAAGAGTGAAACTCCATCTCAAAAAAAAAAAAAAAAAAAAAAAAAAAAAAAAAGCAAACATAAGGTTTACAAAAGACTGTAACATGATGTATTTTGGAATCCTGTTTCTGGTTATATTTCCATGTTGGCTAGTAGATTCATTTTTTTTTCTCTTATCAAGCACCACCTATGCATCTATGTAGAGGGCATGATGCTGAATGCTGGCAATATAACACTAAATAAGGGATTTTCCTGGAGAAATGTGAAGAGGCACTCAAAGTGATGCAGGTGAAACATTGGGAAGAGCAATCAGCTCTGCCTGATGAAGCTGAAATTTAAGCTGGTATTGGAGGGTGACTGGAATTTGCTGGGAAAGGACGTGGAATAAAGTATTCTAGGCAGAAGAGTCAGCAATGAGTAAAAATCAAAGTTGAGAGTAAGCCTAGTGTGTCCATAAAGCATTGTAGTAATGCCTGTAAAGAAGTGTAGTGTGCATGGTGGGGTGGAAAGAGGCAGGTGGGAAAAGAAGACTGACAACACTTCTTTTGAGCCCAACACTTCAACAGGTTTGGGCCCAGACCTGGAAAAAAAAAAAAAAGGAATAAATCCAGGTTTTAAGTCAGGGAGGTAAACAGTTTTGGGAAGATAACATGGGTAAGGGAGAGAATGGACAGGAAGACAGCTAGATTGTAGGTACTGACATTAGTGATGAGGCTGGTACACAAATTAATTAAAATCTAAGTGATTAGAATGAAAGGAGGCCAGACTCAAACTGTTTGAAAGATGTAAAGCAACTCAATTGGAAGTAGTTGATGGCAAAGGAAAGGCAGAGGAAGAGTTAAAGGTTTCCAGCTACGGATGAACAGGGATGACATTAATGGGTGAGACCATCTAGTCAGAGTATAAAAACAAAGAGGTCCAACAGTGAAAACTCTGGGGAATCCCTACATCTAAGCAGCAGTCAGAGTCGGGGAGAGTTAGCAAAATGACAGGGAATAGTAATAAGCAGGACAAGAAAAAGGGTTGCTGGAGAAGGCAAGGAGAAGGGATTGTATGTATAATCAGTAGATGGTTCATGTCCAATGATGGAGAGGAGACAAATGGTAGGACTGAAAACAAGTCAGTGATGGGCAGTTGTGTGACTTTAGCAAAAAGTAGTTTAAAGCTGGAGAGTGCATAAGGGGTTAAGAATCTGAGACAGTGATGAAAGACTCCTACTCCAGCATGTTTGTTCAGAAAAGGCATTAAGTAGGGGCAGAAGCAAGAAAGGCAACTATGGTGGTAAAATATCTTCATGACAGAGATTTGGGAATTTCTGTAGAACAAGAAGCCTGCTCGGTGGATCACTTCCTGTACACACACACACATACACACACATCCCTACACCCACACCCACACACACACTCTCTCTCTCTCTCTGTCTCTCTTTCTCCTGTGTCTTAGACTGGAACCTTAGTTGGAAGAGGGTAAGAATCACAGCTTAGACTTGGCTGAGGCTTTTATTTTGGTTTCCCACAAAGCAGTTAATAAGCAGTGTAAAGGATATATATTAGGTAAGGACACAGGTACGTGTATTCAGCTGCCTGCTCCCTCTACATATCACATTTTTGGTGGTGTCAACAGTTCTAGTAACTGAAATGTCAGAAAAGTGTGGTGCTGTGGGCTTCCTTACCACCCTTTTTAAAAACCTCAGATACATCAGCACCTGGAAGTAACTTATTTTAGATGAAATTTGTTTCTAAGGAAGCCACACCACTCAGTTTAATGTCTGGGTTCTGGGCCTTGAAACTCTGGCTGTGCCAGCTCTGGGGCAATCTTGCTTTACCATTTTTCATTTATGCTTATGCAGGGTCTTCTCATGGGAAGACCTGGCAGGCCTACAACATGTGAGGCAAGGCAAGAAACCCAAGGCAAGTAAGCTTTCTTTGCCTTCATTCTTGGTTCTAGTACAAAGGTTCATGTTCATGGAACACAGGTAGAATGAGCATGCCATTAACATTCCTCTGCAGTCCAGTAACTTCTGTATTTCATATTTTCAGAGATAGGGTATTGCTCTGTTACCCAGGCTGAAGTAGAGTGTGGCGATCTTGGCTCACGGCTGCCTCAACCTCCTGCACTCAAATGATCCTCCTAGCTCAGCTTCCCAAGGAGCTAAGACTACAGGGACTTAACACCATGCCTGTCGGTTTTTTTTTTTTTTTTTTGAGACAGAGTCTTGCTCTGTCACCAGGTTGAAGTGTAGCAGCGCAATCTCAGCTCACTGCAACCTCCACCTCCTGGGCTCAAGCAATCCTTGTGCCTCAGCCTCCCCGGTAGCTGGAATTACAGGCATATGCCACCATGCCTGGCTCAGTTTTCGTATTTTAGTAGAGACGGGGTTTCACCATGTTGCCCAGGTGGGTCTGGAACTCCTGAGCTCAGGCAATCCACCTGCCTTGGCCTCACAGTGTTAGGCTTACAGGTGTGAGCCACTGCACCCAGCGGATTTTCTTCATTTTACTAGAGACAAGGTCTCACTATGTTGCCCAGTCTGGTCTTGAACTCGGACTCAAGTGATCCTCCTGCCTTCACCTCCCAAAGTGTTGAGATTACAGGTGTGAGCCACTGTGCCCGGCCACTTCTGTACTTTTAAAAAGGCCAAACAAGTTCAAGAGATGTTTTCAACCCAATAGTCTCAACTAGCTAATTCTCCTGATTTCATTTTCTATGAAAATCTGTACAAATACACCATATGTGGCCAATGGTGGCAAGGGGTGTTATCTTCAGGGAATCTTATCAGGAAAAGCTTAGATAAAAATCTCAAGATTTACCACACTCATGACATTTTTACTTAGGGTGGCCTTGAGATGCATCATTAGAGGTAAGTATTTCATATCTATATGCACGGCACAGCAACATTAAGACTTTAGGGGCTGCTTATAATACCCATATTCCATGTGGAGTGGAGATTTTGGCTGTGTCCATAAACATGGAAAGATACATATAACTAGACAAACTAGTAAATCTCTGAAACAGTCTTTACATCTGGAGAGAGAGAACTTTTTTTAGCCAGCTGTCAAATGGCACTGGTATCTTCAGTGGGTTTTAATAAATCCTGAAACTTAATATGGCTTTCTGATTTCAAATTTGTTGCTTCCATTTCTTAATGTTCTTCTGTGAACTTTGAGGAGGGTCATAAGATCACAGTAATACATTTTTAATCTCTTGAAAAGATATACTTTGTCAGATTCTTCATCTCAATATGCCTGTCTTTCAGCTTAGACGGTAGGTATAAATGGGGGCAAAAGAGCAATTAAGGCTACCAATGAGGGACAATTATTTCGGTGCCTTTGAAGTCAGGTATCTCATATAAACTTGTGTTTCAGGTGGATAAAAGTGATGAGAAATCCTCTCCTGATTCTGATATGCTTAGGTCCTGGAGCAAAAATTTGAATCTAATTTTGTCCATGCTAGACTAAGAATATCGGTTCAAGGTAATATAGAAGTCAGTGGTTTCAGTGTTTTACTCCTATGTGAATATGAAAAATACTGCAGTTTAAAATAATCTGGCACATTGTTAGGCAACATTATTAATTCCTTACTACTTAGAAAAACTAGCTATTTTCCTTAAACTTTAGCATAAAATATATTTTCTGTATTTTTCACAAAACTGAATGTCCTTACTTTTAATTAACACAAAACCAGAACATTTTAGTATTTTGCTGTTAATCATTTAATCAACAGCATAAACATTGCTTCAGTTTCTCACAGTCTCTTGATTTCAATATATATCTACATATATATGTGTGTGTGTGTGTGTGTATATATATATATATGTCTGTCTATATTTATGTTAACTATTAGGTTATTTTTATAACTTTGGTTTGGTAAGGTCCTGACCATCCAATAGTGACAGGAGGTAGAAGAAGGGATAGGTCCTTCTAAATATGTTTAATTCTTGTTCACTTTTGCTAATGAGTCTGAAAACAATTCATTTTGACCACAAGTTTGGAAATGTCAATGACAATGGAAATTTCTGACCATATCTTAAACTACATAAAAATTACCAGCGACAAAGAAAAAAGGCTTATATTACATTTAATAGTGTTAATTTTGAAGACAATAGTGTTAATTTCAAACTTCCATAAAGGATAACCCTACTGTTGAGGTGTTTGATGCAGAAACCAGTACAAATTTCGATTGTTAGGAAACCAAATGTTCTGAACATTATTTTCGTTAGAAAAGGGAAGATAATTTTATAGTTGTTTGAGGTGTTGTAATACATCTACTGATAGGCCCAGCTGTTTAACTAAACCGGCTGTCTGTTCCAAAATCCACGTGGGGCTTGGGTTTTCTGAATGTGCATGCTCCTGCGTTCTACAACATTCTAAATATGAACAATCTATCCCACTATGGCTCTTGCTACAGTTTTTGTTAAACTCAGCATTATTTTCACAGAGTCTTTCATCTTTAGCTTCATCAATCTTTTTCTCAGCTGGAACTACATGACAAATGTCCATATCCTCAATGGAGTCCAATAAATCTACAACATGGGACGGTGGAGTGATTGATTTCAGATGTTTGAGCACATACTCTTCACACTGGCCAACTGCATCCAGAAGATTGTTTATTTTATTGATCAAAGTTGAATTATTATTATGAAGGTGACACCAGGAGAGCAAAGCACTAAACAAAAATATAAACAAGGGTTAAATAGCAAAATAGGACTTAAAAATATAAGACTGTTTATCAATTGGACTTAATCATAAAACTGTTTATAATTCATAACCCCTCTTTCACAACTCTATATACACTTTTCCTGATTTTATACTTTTCTCTTATGACTACGTAATATCTGTTGAAGATGAATACAACTCCAAGAAAGAAAAATTAGTTTCTTCTTTAAGGACATTAAACAGCTTCTAAACTAGCAATTCTCAATCATGGATGCACATTAGAAACACCTGAAGAGCTCTGCAACCTATCAGGGCCCAGATTATACTCCAGACCAATTAAATCAGAATCTCTGGGGGTATCTTTTTTTTAAAGTTTCAGAGTTTATTTCAAGGTGCAACCAAAGTTGAAAACCATTGTTCTAAGCATATAGTTGCTTGCCATCAAGAATGAAGGTTAGAGAAAAAAAGTTTTAAAGAGACTTCACTTTCCTGGGCTTATGTCACAGAGTAGACATTGTTTGCTGAACTACTAACAATTTCTTTGAAAAAGGTAAAAATGCTTCCAGTCCTAACAGATTTAATATCAGCCATGTCATAAAATAATGGTTATGAAAAGTATTTAAAAATAGAATCCACTGATAGAAAAGATTCAGCAGTAGCTTTCTAAGGTTATATAACATTAACTTGATGATGTGAATATTCACATTGACTATTTTCCTACTGTAGCAGACTAAATTCTGGTTCCTAATGTTGGATTTTCTAAAACGCCAAACACAATAAATTTTTCGGTTTTGTTTTGTTAACTTTTATCATCTACTCTTCTTTAAAATGAGTGCTTCTTTGAAGCATTTCTTTTTTCTCTACCAAGAGCAGTTTAAAGGGTATAAAACAAGGGTGTCCAATCTTTTGGTTTCCCTGGGCCTCACTGGAAGAACTGTCTTGTGCCACAGATAACATACACTAACACTAATGATAGCTAATGACTCAAAAAGAAAAAGAAAATAATCATGAAAAAAATCTCATAATGCTCATAATGTTTTAAGAAAGTTTATGAATTTGTGTTGGGCCATATTCAAAGCTGTCCTGGGCCACATGTGATATGCCGGCCACTGGTTGGACAAGCTTGGTGTAAAGCATCAAAGAGGACAAGGCTGCTAGGCTCCTGGCTCTGTGTATCATTTGACCACTTGGCTCTGATATATGCCATTATTGCAATGGTATCCTGACAAGTATTCAATGTTCAGGACTAAAGTAAATGAAATCAATTTTCTCTTAATTACCAACTATTTTCATTATGTACTTCTAGTCTAGAGGTCTGTCATATTGTGTGGAAGTATTAAAAGTTTTATTCAAAATCTGAAGACCTTTTAATGAGATAGATAATCGTTCAGGTAGCAGAAGTATACATCTTCTTACCATTTCTTTGCACGAAAGGACAATATGTAGTTCACATATTAAAGTGGATGAGCTGATAACGATTTTGACTTTTTGAAGGCAATATAATTCTATGTTCTGTGACACACTTTAGCATATTTAGCACAAGGAAAAGCACTTCAGTTTAAACACTTTATTTTTACAGAAACATCCTCCGGTAGTATTGAGGTTAAAATGATCCAGGATTTAGACTTTAAAAATTACCTTAATGTTCCTCGGAGTCGTCCATAGTTTAAAATGACTTCTGCGCCTTCCTTATAACCTTGATTGAAGCCCTGTTGAAGAGTAACTGCTTTTCCAGCATCTATTCCATCTCTATAACCTTCCTAAAAATAAGTAATGGAGAACTGCAGCTGTAACTAACACCGAGTATACCACATGTAGGCTTTTCTAGAAAAGTACAGAACCAATTTAGAAAGCTGATGAGTTAGGCCTTTACTGTGTTACTGACCATAATATGGCATAACAATATAACTAAAGCAGACTATGCTTCTCCTAAGTTTATTATTGGTTTATCATTACTTATCCACTTTTGAAGTCTAGAGTTACTGGGCAATTTTCAAAACACTGATAATCACAGTTTTTAAAAAACTTAGTATTGGGCCTCCACTTTTGCTGTGAGGTAGGCAAGTGGCAGACATGGCACCTTCCAGGAGTCTTGTAGTTCCCCTGGCAGTCCTGGTACTGTTGCTTTGGGGTGCTTCCTGGACCCACAGGCAGCAGAGCAACATACGTATCATCATGGACGAGAACTGGACAGAGCTGCTGGAAGGAGACTGGATGATAGAATTTTATGCCCTGTGGTGCCCTGCTTGTCAAAACCTTCAACCGGAATGCGAAAGTTTTGCTGAATGGGGAGAATATCTGAGGTTAATGTTGTGAAAGTAGATGTCACAGAGCAGTCAGGACTGACTGAACAGTTTACAATAACTGCTCTTCCTACTATTTATGATTGTAAAGATAGTGAATTTAGGCACTTTCAGGGTCCAAGGACTAAGAAGGACTTCATAAACTTTTTAAGTGATAAACAGTGGAAGAGTATTGAACCCATTTCATCATGGTTTGGTCCAGGTTCTGTTCAGATGAGTAGGATGTCAGCACTCTTTCAGCTATCTATGTGGATCAGGACTTGCCATAACTACTTTATTGAAGACCTTGGATTGCCAGTGTGGGGATCATATACTGTTTTTCCTTTAGCAACTCTGCATTCTGGACTGTTATTAGAACTCTGTATGATATTTGTGGCAGATTGCCTTTGTCCTTCAAAAAGGCACAGACCACAGCTATACCCTTCAAAAAAATTATCAGAATCTGCTCAACCTTTGAAAAAACTGGAGGAAGAACGAGAGGCGGATGAAAAAGATGTTTCAGAAGAAGCCAAAAGAAAAGAAGGAACAAAGACTTTCACAGAATGCCATAAGACAATGCTCTCTGGGTCCATCACTGGCCACAGATAAATCCTAGTTAAATTGTATAGTTATCTTAATATCATGATTTTGATAAAAACAGAAGACTAATTATTCCTTTTGGTTTGAAGTGAACTGTGACTTGCTTGTATATTACAGGGTTCAGTCTAGATTGTCATTAAATTGAAGACTCTACATTCAGAACATAAAAGCACTAGGTATGTAAGTTTGAAATATGATTTAAGCACAGTATGGGGTTTAAATAGTTCTCTAATTTTTGAAAAATCATGCCAAACAATAAGATTTATGTATATTTGTTTAATAATAACCTGTTTCAAGTCTGAGTTTTGAAAATGTACATTTCCCAAGTATTGCATTATTGGGGTATTTAAGATTATTTTAGAGAAAAATATTTCTCATTTGATGTAATTTTTCTCAGTTTCATGTATGTGAAAAAAGGAAGATATTTCCCATAAACGGGAACTTTGCCCACTGTCTCAAGAAATATATATTTCAGTGACAATTCAGTCGTCTTTTTAGAGATATATTCCAAAATTTCCTCATATTTTTAGGTTATGCAACTAATAAAAACTATCTTACATTAATTAGTTATAGTTTTCTACACATGGTGATATAGGATAAGCTAATGATTTAGGAAGTTTTTAAGTCCATGGTATTCTCTTGATTCCAATAAATGATTTTCTCTTGTATTTTTCTTATTTACTATGGGTTACATTTTTTATTTTTCAAATTGGATAATTTCCTGGAAGTGTTTTTTATGTTTTAGTAAACAGTATTTTTTGTTGTTGTTTCAAACTGAAGTTTAGTGAGAGATCCATCAAATTGAACTGTCTGTTGAAAATTTAAAATTTTGGGCATTCATTTCATATTTTAAATCATTCTTGCTGAACTTCTACTTGAATTTTTTTTTTTTTAATTTTTCTTTTTGGATGTGAAGGTGAACATTCCTGATTTTTGTCTGATGTGGAAAAGCCCTGGTAGTTTACATTTTGAAAATTCACAGAAGCTTAATATAAAACAAAGTTTGCATTCTACTCAGGAAAAAAATCTTCTTGTATATGTTTTAAATGTATCTTTGGCCTCATACAGAAAGTTCTTACTTAATTTCACAGTCTGTAATGCTTGATGTTTTAAAATCATAACTATATATATATATATATTTACTATTATTATTATTTTCTGAGATGGAGTCTCGCTCTGTCACCCAGGCTGGAGTGCAGTGGCTTAATCTTAGCTCACTGCAACCCCCACCTCCCAGGTTCAAGTGATTCTTCTGCCTCAGCCTCCCAAGTAGCTGGGACTATAGGCGCATGCCACCACGGCCAGCTAATTTTTGTATTTTTAGTAGAGATGGGTTTCACCATACATTTTTATATTTTTTAAGAGACAAACTTCATATTTTCCTGTTCTTTCCTGACTACTAATATTGTGTGGTATCTCACAGGTAGAAATCAACAGGATGGGACATTTAGTGTATTTTTACTCCTTAAAGAGCTAGAATACATAGTTTTGACCTTACAAGAAGGAGGAAAACCATAAATACAATGAATCAACTGACCATTATGTAGTAGACAATTTCTGTAACGTCTCTTTCTTTCTAGGCTCTGTTGGTAGGTGAATCAATTGGATTTATAGTAGAATAATGTACAAGTTTTCTTTAAAGGCCTCTCCTTTAGAATATAAAATATTATATCATTGAAGAGTTTGGATGTGTAACTTGTGATGCCTTAGAAAAATATCCTAAGCACAAAATACACTTTTCTAACCACTTCAAAAGATCAAAAAACAAAAAACAAAACCCAGGGTTAGCAACGTATTCACAAAAAGGATACATGGAAAATTACACATCTGGGGTCTTGCCAACTGATTGGAATGGTGTGGGTGGGTGAGGAGACACAGCAAAGCAGAGAGGAAATTGTTTTAAAAAAAGGATGATGAGAAGTCTGGTTTCAGAAATTTTGCATAATACCCAAATTCAACTAACCTGCAAAGGCTGTGTGGGTAGTGATTTCGTTCTGCATCTCTCACGGTGCCACAGCATTCAAGATGCTCAATACTTACTAGCATAGCCCCAGTCTCACATAAAGCATTGTTGTAATTGACAATATGGTTTTTGGGCTAAGCAAATACCACTTTACTGAAATATTAAACAAGGTAGATTCCCAACTGCAGCTTTAGCGGCAATTTAATGGTTGGCAAATATATTAAGTTGATGTGGACCTCACTACTCGGTCCTCACCCAGAACTAGGTTCTGAAGGCTGCACACAGAAATTAAGCTCAGTTTCAATGAATAGTGAGACAAACTAGAGATGAAAAACTTACATCTAACAAATAAAAAAGAAACCAACTTTAATATTCCCTTACCTAGACACCAGTATTCCACATTAGTTTTCCCTTATTGCCCTCTGACAGCATGCTTAAGTTCACTTTTCAATATGTCTTGATAAACACCACTCCTTAACTTTAGGCTCCCCACCCATTCAAGCAACCCATTTAAACTGCGTACACGTCCTTTGACAGCCATAATTAGTATAGTTAGTGTATGTTTCTCCCCAGCTCCTTTCCCTGCGATCCTCAACAAATTGCAAACTGTTCAAAGTCCAGACATAGTTAATTTTGGTCGGTCCTCAGCTTCTAACGCACCCCCTAGGCGCTCAAAGAACGCGTCTTGTTGTTTTACACGCTTTCAAGTAACCATTGAGAAATCCTAGCAAGACGCGGGTCGGACCGGGTTCCTAGGGATAAAGAGGGCAGCGCCGGGCCAGGCTGGGGCCACTCTGGACCCAGCTTCTTCACAACTCCGTGCCTCTTTCCACAACCCAGCCCCCGCGCCGTCCACACCACGTTTACTTTGACTCGTCTCTGCATGTGGCTCTGCCATTCCCGCTGCGCCAGGAGCGACTCGTCTGCCTCCTCGTCAAACACGTCCCCTTTGTCTCCAGGGCCCCGGACCAAGGACGCTCCTTGAACCCACGACATCACCGAGGCAATTACAGGGTCGCAGGCCAACGGAAGCGCCAACAACTCCTTCCGGTCCGAAGGCGGGGCGAAGACGGCGAGTGGAGGCTCGGGAGGGGCTGCGCGTGCGCATGGGCGTGCTGTGCAACGTGTCCGCCGGCAGAGACTTTCGCGTGTGGTGATTTTGGGCTCCCTCGGTTGGTGAAGTATTGATGTGCGCCTGTTAGTTGTGAGCGAGGCAGATTTCCTCGCGTGGCCGGCGCGACCTTCGCCTTTGCAGAAGGCAGCCGGGACCCTCAGTGAAGCACCTTCCATTTACACCGTAGTCCTATCATGGTCTAGGTTTTACACTTGCGCGCGTTGGGAAACTATTAAAGGTGGTAAAGTTGATGGGCAATTACCGCCCAAAGACTGTCTCTTTTGGAATCTCCTCTGCGTTTAAAGGATTTGACAAACTGACATTTTAAACTGTTAGGATTGTGGAGTAAAGGATAATAGAATCGAAAAGTGAGATACTGCAGCCAATATGAGATTAGTAAGAAATACAGAGTACATTTGTAAAGCCAATATATTTATTCATTGATCCGCAGTATCCTTCTGCCTCCCATTCCTGTTCATATGCCCTAAACTGTTGGTTTGGTAAGGGTGGGGACTTGTGTCAACACCAGGACAGTTCTGACACATAGTAGATGCTGAACTCGATCTTGGTGAATGAATGAACACCTGTAGTATTTCTATTTTGCTCTTTGCCTAGGTAAAATGAGTCATGTGATGATTATCTAACAATTTATTGAACACCTACCTTGTGTCAGGCACCATTCTAGGCTTTGGGATACATCGGTGAACAGACGGAAGTTCCCAACCTTTGTGGACTTTATAGTCATGTAAAATTGACAGGATAAACAATAAGCTATATGTAAGTAACATAAGTTTTGTTAGAAGATCATAAATAAATGCTATGAAAAAAATTTTAAAATAAGCACAGTAAGAACCATGAGTGTGTGGAAGTGGGTGGTTGGTTGATGTTACAATTTTACATCTCCAGAGAGAATTTGGCATCTCACAAATAAAAAATATATAAACTATAAATATGTATATTTTATTACTGTAAATGTATTAAGACATATGTATATATCTTTATTAGGAACAAAATGGTAGTAAGCAATAAAGATAACAATGAATAAAATAGAAAATCTCAAAACTTGAGTAAGTAAGCCCAATTCCTTTTTGTATTATTTGAAAACACCAATAAGATAGATAATTCTGTCATGATCCTGATTTTTAAAGTGAACAAAATTATGCAAGAATGAGAAATGAGATAACCACTGATGCAGAAAGAGATTAAAATACTAATTACCAACTAAAACTCAAAAGCAACACATTTGAAAACCTGGGAGATATGAATGACTTTCTAATAAAATTGACCCAAGAAGTAGAAAACATGAAGAGGCTAATTACCATAGAAAAATTGGACATTAAATATCTACTATTAAAAATGTCACGGAGACTTGGGAGTTTCACATTAAGTCCTTTGCAATCTTTAAGGAATGATGGATTCTTAAACTATTTTTACCATTTTAGGGGAGAGAAAAAGAGGAAACTCCTTGAATCATTTCATGAAGCCAGCCTTACTGTAACTTCATAAAGATAGTATCAGAAAAACCCCAAAGTTCAAGTTAGCTTGTGAATATGTATCCAAAAGAGAATGTAGGTTGGTGCAAAAGTAATTGGGGTTTACTTTTGCACCGACCTAGTAGTACTTTATCAAAAGAATAATTCAAGAGGTTTTGTACCAGGAAAGCAAACTTCTGCAATATTAGGACATCAATAATATTTCATTGCATTTACTATTTTTTGTTTTTAAACAGGGTCCTGCTCTGTCACCCAGGCTGGAGTGCAGTGGTAAGATCATAACTCACTGCATCCTGGATCTCCTGGGCTTGAGCTATCGTCCTGCCTCAACCTCTTGAGTAGCTAGGACTACAGGCATGTACCACTGCACTTGGCTAAGTTTTTGGTTTTTTTGTAGCGACAGGCATCTCACTATGTTGCCTAGGCTGGTCTCCAACTCCTGAGCTCAAGCTATCCTCCCGTCTCAGCCTCCTAAAGTGCTGGGATTACAGGCATGAGCCACTGTGCCTAGCCTGCATCAACAATATAAAGGGGAAAAAACATGTTTTATTAATAAATGCTAAAAAGTCATTTGAAAAAATTTAAAAATCATTTCTAACAAAGTATAAATAGAAACTACAAATTGATAAAGATTTTACAAAAATTCCTATGAGTAGTATTTTAAACACTTAGATGTTCGGATGTTTCCTTTAACGTATAGAAAGGAGAGGGCATCTGGTAATCACTATTATTACTATTCTTTTAGAGACTAGCACAATAGCACATGCAATAAGAGAAGTAAACAAAATAACCTGTATAAATGTTGGATAATAAAAGATGAAGATATTTGTTTTTAAAAAATGAGACAGGATCTTGTTCTGCCACCCAAGCTGGAATGCAGTGGTGCAATCATAGCTCACTGCAACCTCAAACACCTGGGTTCAAGCAATCCTCCTGCCTCAGTTTCCCAAGTAGTTGGGACTACAGGCACGCACCACAATGCTGAGCTAATTTTAAAATTATTTTTAGTAGAGACGGGGGTCTCGCTTTGTTGCCCAGGCTGGTTTCGAACTCCTGGCCTTAAGTGATCCTTCTGCCTCAGCCTTTCAAAGTGCTGTGATTATAGGCGTGAACCACCATGCCCAGCCTAAGATATTCCTTTTGGTCATTATATGATTATATGCCTAGAAACCCCAAAAAACTTTGCTTAAAAATAACAGAATAGGCCGGGCGCGGTGGCTCAAGCCTGTAATCCCAGCACTTTGGGAGGCCGAGGCGGGCAGATCACGAGGTCAGGAGATCGAGACCATCCTGGCTAACACGGTGAAACCCCGTCTCTACTAAAAGTACAAAAAAAACTAGCCGGGCGAGGTGGCGGGCGCCTGTAGTCCCAGCTACTCGGGAGGCTGAGGTTGGAGAATGGCGTAAACCCAGGAGGCGGAGCTTGTAGTGAGCCGAGTTCGCGCCACTGCACCCCAGCCTGGGTGACAGAGCAAAGACTCCGTCTCAAAAAAAAAAACAAAAAAAAAAAAAAAAAAAACAGAATAAAAGAATTTGATAAAGTCTCTGCATGTAAGAAAAATAAACATACCAGTAGCCTCTTCTAGTAATAATCATCTAGAAATGTAAATGAGATAAATATTCCACTTGTAATACCAACAAATATTATTAAATATAGTAATGACATATTTGTTTAGTTTTTAGTGTTTATTTAGTACTATATTTATAAATGTCAGGAACACATTTTTAAAATCATGCAGCAACATGCATAAATTTTGAGTGTAAATGCCACCTATGAAGATATAGAAAATTTCTATCACCCCAGAGAATTTCCTTGTGCTTGTTTGTGGTCAGTCCCTCATCCCTGGCAACACTTGGTCCAATTTTTATCACTAGATTAGTTTTGCCAGTTTAGAATTTCATAGAAATGAAATTGCATATGTCCTTTAATGTATTTGGCTTCTTTGAGTCAACATGTTTTTGAGACTCATTTATTTGGTTGCATGTACCAGTAGATTGATCTATTTTATTGCTAAGTACTATTTTCATTATAGGGATATACCATGATCTGTCCATCTAGTCATTTTTGGACATTTGGATTGTTTCCAGTTTTTGGCTATTATGAATAAAGCTGC